CATCAGTAATACGGAGGGAGGAAGGTGGACACTCCCCACGTGCAGCACTGCCCTGATGCATGCTCTCACTTGGTCTGCACAGTGTAGTTCAAAATTGCTATTCTGGGCTCCAGGTGTGAAGGAGGAATTCATGGTGCTGTGTTTTGGTAAAGTAGCTGCCCAGGATCAAATAGTGTCCAGAATTTGAACCCAGGTCCACATGACTACAAAGTCTACACTCTCCCTTCATACCAGGAAAAGGTCCCATTTATGCCACCCTAGGAACTATCCACAAAACATTCTCTACTGGTGAGGAGGAAGAGGCCTCCCAGGCTTAGTGAGAAAACCACAGGCTGATTGTAATTTCATGTTTGACTAATGCAACTGGCCAAGTCTTCTCAGCAGAAAGCATTCCTAAAGTTTCTGAGGCTGGCCTGAGGCAGCAACTTCTTTTAGCGCTTAGAAACAGGGTAGATCCTTAGGCGCCAAAGCTCACTCAATGTGGTGAGCGGGGACAGGCAGCACCTCTGGTCCCTTGGGAATGGTGATGCTAAAGGAGAGAAGTGTGTATTCATCAGGCCTTCATTTGGAACCACCCCAAATCCTTCTCCAGGCCCACAGGTCTGAAAACTGGGCTCAAAGCCACGTCACTCTCTACAAACTCTGCTCCCAAACTTTAGCCAACCCCTGGGACTGGGTGTGCAGAATTTCTGGGTTAAGCCTCTTACAGAATTCCAGAAATATTGTGACCTTAATGCTGGCTCTCAGTAGGCCTATCTCATTTACCAATTATGACGACAGTGATAAAAACAACACATTCACTCCACACGGACAAGATTACCTCTTTAAAAAAAATGTTTAGCAACATAAAATAAGCTTTGGCGAAGCAAAAATTCTTTTCCCAAGGACTCATAAAAAGCTAAGAGATGAGCAGAGCTAAGAGGACCACATGTTTGCAGACTTTCTGAGCGCACTGCTCTAAAATGCACCAGGATGAAGCGCAAAGGCCCCCAGATGCTTGTCTGCAGGAGAGGTGAGCGCCGCAAACCTCCGCTTGGGCGGTGAGCACTGGAAACATGTTGTGTTTCAGATGCCCCAGCCATGAAACCCAATCAAATTTACATTTCCAGAAAAATATAAATTAGATGTGCCTGGGCTTAATAAAAAAGAACAAATAAACAAATCAACTCTGAACTGTCTGAGGGAGTAACTTGATTTAGAAGAAATCTGTTTCCTACTGGCTGTTGTCCCAGTCAGTTCTTGCATGAGAGAGGACTATGTCTGATGAACTGAACAGTGCTTCCCAGCACCCCTAGGGGGAAGGACAAGGAGCTGACAGTTGTCCAGTCCTGCTATGAGCCAGGAACTATGCTTAATAAGGCTGTACATGTCATGTACATATGAATTGAATTCTGCTCCCCACAACCAATTCACATGTTAAAGCCCTAACCCTAAGCCCAATGTTTCAGTTGTTTGGAGACAGAGGTCTATAGGAGGACATTTAGATTACATGAAGTCATAAGGATGGGTCCCTGGTCTAATGGGATTAGTGCCCTCATAATAAGAGACACCACCGTGTTCTTTTGGCCCATCCCCCACACACTTATGCACACAAAAGTGATAAGAACACATAGCAAAATGGCAGCCATCTACACACTTGGAAGAATGTGGTCACCAGAAACTGCCCACACTGGCCCTCTGATCTCAGATTTCCAGCCTCTAAAACAATGAGAAAATAAATACCTATTGCTTAAGCTGTACCGTCTCAACAATATTTTTATGGCAGCCAGTGCTGACTAATACAGTCATCCTATTTTAATTTTAATAATCTGCCTGCAGTAGATATTATGATCCCAGCTTTTAGATGAGGAAACTGAGAATCAGAGAAGTGATTTGCTCAATGTTATACAGCCTGTCAACTGGGGCATGACAGTGCAAAACTGGAGTGTGAACCCACCTGTGTCAAATCCATTTTAGTCATCTGTCTTCTCTACCAGTAAATAAAGTTTTTAAAATTTTTTTTAAAGGAGATGCTTTTTAAGACTTTCTGTTTGCTCATATGCTGCTGATAATATACTTTTTTTTTAAGATATATTTTATTTATGCATACAAGAACTGGAGTGTAGGCCAGAGGTGCAGAGTTGAGGGAGAAGGTTCGGAGACACAGTGGGTAGCAGAACAGGCAGATTGACTGAAACACACTGCTGAGGGGAGCAGCAGGCATGACAGGAGAGGTCTGCTGCACCATGTGCGTCACCTCCCTGGCTGGGGATTGAACTTGTGCTGCAGTGGCTGCCAATAGCTTTATAATGTTGACACTTAACCCCTCATGCCACCAGGAGGACCCAATAGTGTAAGTTTTAAAAGATTTCTTTTTTAAAGGTGTTATGATGATGACCCACCATTTTCAGTTGGTTACAGGTTTTCATTGTGATAGAATTATTTCTAAAATATGGTCAGTGTACTTACTGACCCACAAATCGAGAAAGAGTTGGCAAATGAGAGCAATAGTGTGCAACATGGATAGAGCTGGAAGGGATTATGCTAAAGTGAAAAAGTCAGAGGAGGAAGATAAATACCAAACAGTGTTACTGCTATGCAGAATACAGAGAAATCAAACTAAGGGTCTGATCAAGACAAGCTTAAAAACTTACCCTTGGAAGCTGCCTACAGAACTGAAGCTGTAGGCTTTCAGGGAAACCAATTTCACGAGAATCTGCCTCCTTCTGGGCTTTGGGAACTATGCCCTCAATCACTTAGCAGTTGAGGACTTGGAGAGAGGGAGGTGGGGTATCAGTCTGGGGGTCAGCCCTGGTCTAGTGAGAGAAAAAGTAGGGTGGAAGCTCCAGCTCCTGCTTTTCCAGGCTGCAGCTCGAGGAGATGAAGTATTTCTTATGGGTGCTTTGCTTTTAAGGGTTCCCTGCCATGGCTTTCTTTAGGACTTCCCCACCCCTGGTATCCTACTGAAGAGCCTACAAGATGACACCTCTCCAGGCAACCTTAGCTTCTGATGGACGCCAGGGGAGCACGCATCCCTTGCCTGAATTTAACATTTTAGACATGCATTGCCTCGCAGGCTACCAGATGGTGATCAAGGTCAGGAGGACAGGCTGAATATTATCATCACTTATTAGGCTAATAGCCCTTATAATAAATTTTTATTTTGCAGTTCACTGGGAAAAGTGCAATGATTTGGGAGGTCAGGAATCACTGGTGCGTCTCTTTCAAATGTCGATGATGGACACTGCTCTTTGGATGCTGTCTTCTATTCCAAATGAGCACAATTCAGGCTGCAGGGGTTTCCATTTTCTACTTCCAAGTGGGATGGAGTCTTAATAGGTTGGGTTCTTCAGGTGTTTTGCTCACAATCCAAACCTAGAATCCTTGTGGCTTGTGACATTTTTGTAACAGGCACTTCTGGTGCAGTACCCAAAGCTCCTCAGATGCTAAGGACTGTTTCTGTGCATCCATCTCCCCAGAGCATGCATCCCTTGCCTGAATGAGGTAAAACTCTGATGCAGCCATCCATGCTCCCTCCGATGTAGTGCTGTGCAATAAAACTTTCTATGATGATGGAAATGTTCCAGATCTGTGCTGTTCAAAATGGCAGCTACTAGCCACAACTGCTGAGCACTTGAAATGTGGCTAGTGTGACTGAGGAACTGAGTTTACAAGTTTTTAATTAACTTTAAATAATTTAAATAACCAAGTGGCTGGTGGCTGCCATGTTGTATATGCAGCTCTTAGTTCCAGTTCTTTCTGCTTCCTCTCTTGTGTCTAGTGCTCAGACTTCCTTCTCAGTTTCCCCTGGGAACACTGGCTAAATATCTCACTCCTCATTATTCCTGGTGTCTGGTTCTACTTCTGGGGAAAGAGATCTAAGGCAGAGTTATTCTCAGTCTTCCCAAGAGTTTGAAGTCCACCGCTGATACTCCTGGCTGAAGACTGTGGATGTAAACTGAAGAAAGTGACGGAGATTGGACTGCATTTGTATCAACTCCATGGCATTGCCTGAGTCCTCATAGGAATATTTTAGGGTGTTTGGATCTTGGTTATTGAAGTTTTATTGTAAATATCAATAATACTTTAATAGTTACCTTGCCAAAGTTTTTGAGCCTTAGTGACTCAAATCAAATGACATTTGTGAAATTTTCTTTATATATTATTATTATTATTTTTCTAAAGATTTATTTATGCATACAAGAGCTGGGGTACAGGACAGAGGTGTGGGGTATTAGAGGATTCACCAGAGACAGAGTGGGGAACAGAACAGGCAGATTAACAGAAGCACACTGCTGAGGGGAGCAGCGGGTGAGTCAGGAGAGGTCTGCTGCGCCATGTGGGTTGCTCCCTGGCCAGCCAGGGGATCAAACTCGTGCTGTAGAGGCTGCGGGCAGCTTCATAGGTTGTGCCTTAATCCCTTAAGCCACCAGGGAGGCCCCTTTTTATATTATTATTATATTTAAAGTGACCTAGACCAGGGTCTAGCCCCTGTAGGTTTCCTCTAGTCAGTCTCCTCTGGGCTCATATTTCACACGAACAATAAATGTGCACTGACGGTCTTAAGAAACAGCCCCATTTTGTAGGAAGAACTTGGAAGGGGACTCTGATGCTGAGAAAGCCTTAAAAAGCACAGAGGGACATTCCCATAAGACCTTCTTTATGCTGCTAAGCAAAGCCCTGGCTGGATAACTCAACCTGCACTTCTGACCGTTTACACAAATGTAAAGCTCAGGTGTACAGGGATATCCAGGAAGAGGGCGAGGCTGGGACCATCTCAGAGATGTCCCCGCCCCTTCGTGATGGATAAGCAAGCAGGTTGTTCTTTTCCCTGTGCTGCCCCATGTTTGACCTTAAACAATCATGCCTCTATCTGGCTAAAAATATGTGGCTATATTCTGGAGAAGCTCGGGGCTATGGTTCTAAGAGTAAGCAGTAATATAATGTGTTGAAATAATTGTACAAATCAAAAGTTGTTTCCAACTGCAAACACGTCGTGCCCAAAGACAAGGCCAGGCTACCTGGTGGCAAGAAGCGGGTAGGTATGAACTGGGCTGAACCAAGCTTCTTTCCTCCGTGGCATGCTGTCGTAGATTAAAAGGTCCTTCTCAGTCAGTACTACCAGGGCTGCCTTCCACTGTTTGTCGCTCTCCCCAGGCACCTGAAACAGAAAGCAGAAAACTGTTAAACAACAGTGTGAGTGAAAAGAAAGGAGAAGTTGACATCCGTCCAAAACAGAAGACCCAGGTAGGAATGTCTTTGGTACGGGTTGTAAAATCAAACTGGAAAGAAACCAATCATGGTCCCATGATTCCTGATCTTTGAAAATGGTTTCTCAAATGCCCTCATCTGTATAGTCAGTGTAGCTAAGACACATCCCAGCTCCCAAACATCTGTCTGCTGTCTGTTTCTCACCTGCTAGTGAGCACTAAAGTCTTTATTCTGTAGTGGGAGGCAGATGCATGGGGGAACAAGCACTCCCAGCAGATTCTCTGTTAGAGTGCATTTATTTTCATTATAAGATGATAAGGTTTACAAGCTTTTGAATAAATATTCAGACTCTGAAAATGTACTATGAAGGCAAATGTGTGTCTGAACAAGCACAAGACATCACAGTCTCTTTGAGTTTTTCACTCTTAGATTGTTTCTGCAAATGAGGCGCCATCTTGCAATTTGCTTCTTCTATTGAATGTTTAGTTCCATTCATCATAGATAATTCTTTAACCAAAGGCTGAGCTGACCTGACAGGAATCTGACAGGATTCAAACATCAATGGGATGACTGGACACCATGACCTTTAAAGTCCCTTCTAATCCTGACAATCTGTGTAGTTCAGATCTTATCTCCCAAGCCATTCCCATCAGCCCAGATTTGATCCTCCTAAACTCCATAAACATTCTTCCATCTATGGGAATGCCCTTTTATCAATCTGAACTCTTGGTCCTAGAATAAATCTTTGTGTGCAGTTTGAAAAAATTCAGTGATCTAGGCTTGTTACTCAAAGCATGGATCATATTCTAGCTACAGCAACATCACCTGGGAACTTGCTCGAAATGTGGTCTCAGGTTGACCCCCAACCCATTGAACCAGAATTTGCATTTTAACAAGAGCATCAGGTGATTCATATGGTCATTAAAGATGAAGACACTCTGCTCTAGGGATGATTAAGTAGGCATTGGTGGGCCTCCCCTGGTGGCGCAGCGGTTGAGCGCTGGGCTGCGAGGCTGCCCCCAGCCTCTGCAGCGCCAGTTCATTCCCCGGCCACCGGCGAGGGTCCCACAAAAAAGAAAGAAGGCATTGGTGCTGGCAATTAATTCAGTGAGAATGCAACAAACCACTGTCCAAAATGTATTCAGAGTTAAAGCAAACTAGATAGTAAGATAGATTATAAATGATAAAGCTAATTTCCTCCCTTTCTATTCCAATAGTTAATGTTTCTTAAGTTCCACAGTGAAATCTTTATTGAGGTTGGAAGCAGGCATGTGTGACTTTGGAATGAGTGGTCAAAGTAGAGAAGACATGCAGGGTGGTATAAGGAATGAGTTTTGCAGGTTATGTGGTTTTATTGGCTGCCTGAGTCTAAGTCCCTGCTCTGTTATTTATCGCCCATGTGACTTTGGGCAAGTTATTATTCTCTGTGCTTCCATTTCCTCACTGATAAGGATAACATCATATACAACTGTGGTTAAGAATGCTCACTCTGAAGCTAGAATGCTTGAACATAAATCATGGTCCTACCACTTACTAGCTGAGGGATCTTTAGTAATTCAGATACTCTCTTTGTTATCTCAGTTTCTGTATCTGTAAAATGGGGAAATTATAGCATGGACATTTGAGAATTGTTAGGAAGATTAAATGAATCACAGCATGTCCAATGCATACTGTAGTGCAGAATAAGCACAATTTACAGCTTGTTATGTAGCACAGACCTCATAGTGCTACAGTGGAGATTAAATAAGACAGTGTACTGAATGTGTTTAGCATAGTACCTGGAGATGATAACCCTCAGTAAAATTAAGGATGGGATAATTGTGGCCAACTCACCAATTTTAAGCTGGTCAGAAAATGTATTCTTTGGAAATGACAACAATATGATAGGATAATAAATTTTCTTGGGAAAATTTGTAAGGCAAGCTAAGACTATCTTTGGTGATAACAATTTCAACAAAGTATCTTCCCAACCAGGAAGAACTTGCACAATGATCACCATATATTTTAGACCCATTTCCAATAATTCCAAATAAAAATTCCCTTTCCAAAAGGAAGAAATATCCCCATAAAGCTATTTATACTAGAATGTGAATGACTGCCTGGCATATTTCTCTCTTTATGCAGTTTATGCATCTAAAACAATCTAGCTTTAGTCTATTCTTTTTTCCAACAGAACAACATCTTCAACAGATCAAAATGGATTGTTAGAGAAGGTAGTGTACCAGACCCTACAAGGTGAATAAGCTATGGTCTCAAGGCACAAAGTGTTTGCTGGGGGGGGTGGTGGTTAGAATAAATTTTTTCCAACCTCTACATTAAACCTAGTAAATTGCTTTTCCAGCTCATTAAATAGTATTGGAGAAGCTACAAATGATCCTCCCAAAAGTGCCTACCTCACTTACCTAGTCAGATCTGATCCATTAACTTTGAGTGGAACCAGTCATTTAAATGTGTATACAACTAAGTATCATTCTTCAAAACATAATATTAAATTTGCAAAATAAACCTCAACAGTAAATATGATCAGTAAAATGCAAAACTTTCTAATGGTGGAATCATAGATTCATACTCATGTCGGTACATTTTACTGTTTATTAAAGAGCCCTGTGTGGATAAGTTACTGCTGCTAAAATACTCAAAGCGGGCATTTCCATTATTCTCGTTACTTCGTGAATGCTCCAAGGTAACAGTCTACTCATGAGGATCATCAGCTTTCCAAGGAGAAAAATTTCACATTCAAAAACAGGTTTTAAAACCATGCTTTTTTGCCATGCACCTTTAAAACACAAAGTCTTTGAAGAACACTTTTCTTCAGGCTCCAGTGTTTGTGCTATGGTCTAGTGACAACTTCCATTACAAATCTGAATTTCCTGAGTTTCTCCGATATTAATGCAACAGTTCTGGAGATGAGTCTATATTTTATTAAAATGTGATGCCTAAAACAGATATGCCCACTTGCATCTCAATCCCAGCTTCCGCCCAGCTATAGTCACTTTCTTAAGAACTTATCCTGCGTCTGAGGAAGAAGGCAAAGAGAAGGAAACAAGAAAACAGACATTTAATTCTGAAGCATGAGCTGAATCCTGTCCCCTCAGTAATTTCTGCAGAGCATCAGACCAAAGGTTTACAAAATGGCAGGTAGAATTTAAGAGAGAGTAGTAGGAATTAAGGGAAGTAGATTTACAGAATCCTCAATGTGAGATGGTTCTCATAAATCATCTATTTCCATGACTGTCAAAGAAAGGAAGAAGTAAAACTATTTTTATTCACAGGCAATATGAGCTTCTATGTGGAAAGTCACAGGGACGTTATCAAAACAAACAAATGAAAAAAACAACTAGCGCTAATAACTGAGTTTAGCTAGTTGCAGGATTAAAGATCAATGTATAAAAATCAATCATATTTCCATATACTAGCCACAAACAGAAATTGGAATTAAATTGTTATTTGCATTTGCATAAAATTACATTCTCAGAAATAAACATGATCAATCAAGAGCAAGATCTGTGCATTGCAAAACTACAAAATGTTGTTGAAAGAAATTAAAGAAGATCTAAACAAATGGAAAGAGAGGTTGCATTCATGGATTGGAAGAGCTATATTTTTTTCACATGAATTCCATATTTTTTATAATTGTCTCAAATTCCATTTTACACTTTCATATTTTTTGTAACCAGTATTATTTCTTTATTTTATATATTTTTACATCATTTTTGATTTTTGCACAATGTATGCATTTTCATCCCTCCAAATTGATCAATAGATTCAATACATTCCTAGTAAAACTCCAGGCATGCTTTTTTTGGTAAAAATTGGTAAGTTGATTCTAAAACTTACATGGGAATGCTAAGACTCGCCAAAACAATTATGCAAAGGGAGAACAACCTTGGAGATATAATACTATTTCATTTCAAGTGTTATTATATAGCTCCAGTCTCAGAAAGTATAGCATCTGCATAAAGATAGACAAATATAGATTGATGGCAGGGTACACAGAGCAGAACAGACTAGATTCACCAAAGCAGGGAACTGAATTTAAAAATGTATGAAAAAAATTAAGTGCAGAATTCCACTCCTAGGTATTTACCCAAAGGACACAGAAACATCAATTCCAAAGAGCACCTGCACTCCTATGTTTATAGCAGCACTGTTTACAATAGCTAAGCTTTGGAAACAACCCAAATGCCCAAAAATAGATGACTGGATCAAGAAGATGTGGTACATATATACCATGGAATGTTACTCAGCAATCAAAAGATAAACACATGCAATTTGCAGCAACATGGATGGCACTGGAAGGGATCATGCTCAGCGAAATAAGCCAAAAAGAAAAAGAAAAATACCGGATGGTCTCACTCATAGCAGGAATCTAGAAAACTTAAATAAGGGACCAGGAAAATGAATATAGGAAAGTGAAAATCAAAATCAACAAAAAACTATGAACCAGAGACACTTTTTGGGGGGTGGGGGGCGGGAGGGGAAGGATTGGGGTCAGAATGGGGCGTTTGCAATTGTATGGGGGAATATAAAAATAAAATTTAATATTTAAAAAAAAAAAAATTAAGCGCAGAAAGGGTAGTCTTATAACACGTGGTATGGAAATACTCGAATTCATATAAAAAAACTCTAACTTCTATCTGCACCTTGTACTATATGCTATGATTAACTCAAAATGGAGTATAGGACAAACTATAAAACTACATGACTTCCAGAAGAAAACACAAGAAAATCTTTGTGACTTGATGTAGACAAAGATTTCTCAGATACAACATTGAAAGTGAAATTCATGTACATGATAAGCTGGACTTCATCAAAATTAAAAACTTGTGTTCTTTAAAAATAAGAGAATGAAAAAGTCATTGATGCAGAGAAAATATTTGCAAAGTATATATTGAACAAAAGGCTTGTATACAGAATGCATAAATCACTCTCTAAACTCAATACGAAAAT